CCAAAGAAAGTTATACTCTCTTTTGGCGCCAAACTCTTTCCTATCACCTCAAAATAAGCTTCTGCTCTATACTTCCACAATCAGGCCCATACTGACCATACGGCTCCCCTATCTGGCATTCTGTCAGTGATTTCACGAGATGGCGTGTACAAAGGACTCAAAATAGGTTCCTGAGAGGCGTCCTATCGGCTGACAGATGCACCAGAAACACCGAACTGCACGAAGCTACAGGGGTGCCCTATATAGCTGACTATATAGATAACGTATCTGCGAAATTTTATCATAGTGGAGTGCAAGGCTCAGTCCTAACACGAAATCTTACCCAAATTAGAGCAAATGATCGCCCAACTCACGGTCCCCTGTATAAGCGACTGCCCATGTTTCATGAGGCTTTTATCCCATAACATAACAACACCCCTAGTCATTTCTAGCAGGCTGGAAATGCACACCTCCAACATGACGTGACTGACTGAAACCTAGCTCTTTTGTTTTGGTCGGTGCAAGGCCTGCTGGCAAGGCTTGCTCCGGTCAGAGCGAAGGGCGTGGTCTAGGTCATAAAATCGTTTACTGCCTGCGGCAAACGCCACGGCTGATAGTATCAATTTAAAGGTCGAAGCAAAACGGGTTTTTGGCTTCCCTCCAGGAAGATCTTTTTCCTCAATGAATGCCCTTCCAGTGAAAGAAAAGTCGCCATTTAAAGATGATCTCCTCACGTTTTCGTGCGATTGCGGATCCGCGAATGTTCTTGTAAGGGCTCTGCCCAGGTACTGGACTACTTTCCGCCCATTTAAACTATAGGCAGAGAAGCAACTTGCCGACCATCTGGCCATGTACTGACATGGGCTTGCTCCTGTCATTTATTGTTATTGTTGTTAATCTGTTAATGTCTGTATATAAAGTAAATATTAATAAATGTTTTATCTATCTATCAATCTTTATGTTTCACCTATACATTATTGGCTCATAATACCTTAGAGATGAAACATATAATAATATCCATAACAACCGCAGGGCATTGTTAGCGGGCATTATARTATAACGCCCGCTTATAATGCCCGCTCATAATGCCCGCTCTTAATGCCCGCTAAGTTAATTTTTATAAAATTGTTATTCTCTCGCGTTGACATTTTTCAAGTTTAACGAAAAAAAAGTTAAAAAAAAACGTTTAAGTGAACTAAACTTTATCTCCAAAATAAAAATTACAATTTTCAAACGTCCCTGAAAATAAAGCTGAACCGACAACGGAATGGTCCGAGCTTCTAGGAGTGATCTTCTTCTGTGTCTCGCACATGTTTGATAACGAACATTCTCCCCTTAGTTCCTGATGTTGATGATATTCTATTGAA